AACACGGGAGATAGAACACAGGCAGATCAAAGACATCCAGCTAACCAGTCTTTTCATTTCCTCCGCTTCCAATGGTCATGTCTAAATCACAGATTGCTGAGCAATACACACATCCTTCGGTTGACAGTCAGTAAGATATCACGTCTACTAAACCAGAAATCGAGTTACTTGGCGTATATTAAACGAGCCTTCTGTATCCGTGGCGAGATTTTGTGAGCGGTCAACAGACAATTGTCAAACAGAGTGTTGAAATGCGTATTCCAGATTGCCTTAAATCTACCCACTATTCAGAAAATAACCAGAACATTAAGATGTTTTCGTCGTAACACAAATCTTATTGAACTATATCCCGTTTATGTGTAACTTTCGGTTGATTAACCCCCTGAATACACTAGATACATTTACAAATAGTAAAGTGAGAATTGTCTCGAATTTTTGATGACAAGCTGACATCAGCTAGGAGACCACTGGAAAACCAACAGGGATTACTGGGCTGTTATTTCGTCCCACTTTGTGACTCTTCATTGAGCTGATTTGGCTCCCTGAATTCAGTGAAACTGAGTACATCGCTGATAAGCTCGGCTTAAAATCAGTGAAATGGCCGTCGAGTGTTTAGAGAGCCCTTCACTGTCACTTGCAAGCACTACTAATTGATGTAAATGACATCCAATTTTATGTATCAATTGGTCAGTGATATATAGCATACTGATTATACCATCATGTGACTGACAGTCCAGCGTCAGTGGCACAGTGGTAGAATACTCGTCGTCCACATATATGGCCCTGGGTTCGATCCTAAGCAGATACACTCCCAAACCTAGTTAAATCGGTAGTTAAAGCTCTATAGTGAGGGAAGGTTTTCCGTGAGTCTAGCTTCCGCCAACTCGTAAAAACAATAACTCCACGGCTACTGAAACTTCAGCCTCGACAACTGGATTGGTGGTATCATCAACCCTCATCAATTCAATCAGTATGACATTTATAGCCTGCTGTCGCTTAACTTACTTTTAACCAACCAACTGAAAAGAACAAAATTATTGAAAGTGAGAGGGAGGGAGAGAGGAACTAAGCCTTCATTGGGAAAAAAACATTAAATGGCATTAAAAATAACATTATCAACTCTGTACTAGGACACATCGGTAGCTATAAATGGTGGTCACACTAGGAGTTCAGGTTCAACTCTCAGTCTAGGCATACTTTTTTAACATCGCCTAACCGATAAAAATACCTGTGTAAAGGAGGAAGGTTGGGAGTGCAAGGTTAACAACTCCACTGGTACTAAAATTTTTCAGAGCTGAAACTTGAAGTCCCAAATTCCATTCAGAACGCAATGGGATGTAGACAATTTACACGTAGTAAGACATGATTTATCCTTTCTGCTGTCTTTTGCTTATCAGAGTACTTTCAGTGTTGTCAGCTTCGTTGTTGTCGTCTTCTTCTTCAATACTTGATTTCATTGATATACAAATAAGTATTCCTTTATTAGAAGAGATGATTAGTTAGTGTACTACTTATATCTACTGATAAGTAGTACCCATCAGAGTGGTAAAATAAGGCGGAGAAATTGTATTTCCACTTGTCGACATACACAATCAATATATAAAACAATGATTTTATTCTCATTTTGTTTTTGAAAGAAAAATATAAAAAACACACACAATATCGATTGAAGCAAAATAAGATATTTGAATGTTGTCACCCTTTATCTTCGTAAATCCTGCTCTCTTTTTATTTTATCAGTAACAGAGGTAAATAGTACCTAGAGATAGGAACTACTGGAAGTAAACACCATTGTTGCTAGGCCTGCTCAAATAAGTAATTAGAATAAATGTGTCCAAATACTAGTTCACTCACCCACTCACTGATAATCAATCTTATGTCGCCTTTTGGATGACTCACTTAACGACATGTTGTTTGTTGCTAGTCCAAGACCATTGGATTCACTATGACAGACAAAGTATCCTAGATTTCTGTCGAGACATCGTGATCACTGGGGTCCACTAGATCGGGGAGGGGTGTGAGGACAATGGCTGATAGTTGTTCTAAAATCACGAATCAACAGGTGGTTGGAATTCATCGATCGGCCATTGGGTGACTTCCCTGTGGTTGAATAGTATACAAGCTTTCCTTGTAACCAGAAGGTTCTGGATTCGAACCCCGGCTGTAGGTGGGTACTTCCGATGAATTCTAAACTAGTAGGAAATGACTCTCCAGTCCTGCTCCCTGGTTTTCAATAGTTCTCTAACCGATTTTAATCCATGATCAAACTTAAAAGCAAAGTGTTGTCCAATAGACCACTACTGGGTGATGACTTCTCCCAAATTAGCTGATATCTACATCTTGGATTTCCCTGCTTCTGACATGTCAACAAAGAACGAGCATTTCAGTCCAACACAATCATTTAACCATGTCAATCCATGATAAGAAATCTCCATTGAAGATATTTATTTATATAAGGTCTATCTTGAGTGAATCGGCTGCCAGTGGCTTAATGGTCTACAAGCTAGCTTGCCTTGTAACCAGAAGGTTCTGGGTTCGAAAGCCAGTCGTAGAGTGGTGCATACTTCTGAAGAGTCCCAAACTAGACTGACGAAACAACTGTCCATTACTCCCTGCAGGTTTTTCAATGCTTCCCTAACTAATCTCAGTTCATGATGAAATCCTTCAACCTATGAAACAAAATCACTACAAAAATTAATACTTGATAATTTCTAAGTAATCGTATTGTTTGTTGCTTCTGGGAATGGAGCTAACTGAGGAAGTTCAAGGGACTTGAATGAATATCATCAATATTTGAGAAGAAATTGATTGATTGATTGATTGATTGAAGACACCTTATTGTTATCGTTTAGAAACTAATTAAAACTTCTCAAATTCTGAATATATCTATGGTCTTTTTTATTTAATTATTCCCTCTCTCACACACTTTCCCTTTGTGTGTCCCTGTCTTTTAAAAGCTTATTATAAGGTAGTTCTGTGCTATTTTCAAAATGTTAAATATTGATTTAATAAACTTATTCTCCATGTTTCTACTTTCATCAGAAAATATCTCGTATACGTTAGTACTGAACCGGTTAAATTGAAATAGGTTGGGTCGACTCAATTTTATATATTTTTTCAAATTACATCACAGGTTGATATTAGTTAAAGAAGTGTTGAAAGCCAGCACGCAATAACTGTTTCATCCCAGTTTGGGACTCTTCAACTGTATGCATGTAAAACCTTCAAGTTATGGGGGGGGGGGAGCGGAGCCTATTGACGACTATTCATTTAACCACTGGGACGGAATAGAATGACGTTTCTGTGAATTATGATTTCTGTCACCGTTAATCTATACCACAGTTGACCTAGTGTATCTCACTTATCGGAACTTCAGACCAGACCTCCAGATAACTTCATTTTGTGGCTTGAAATTAACATGGAACAGCCGTCCAGTACTCCTCCCTTGTTCTTATTGATTCGTTTACCTGATGTCAACCTGTGATTTAGCGATTTCAAACTTAGTGTTTAGTCAGTTTGAGTAGTAAAGTGACTGATTACGTCATCATATCACTAATACTCATTGTTTTTACTCTGGATAACAATGACTCATTTTGATTACATAAGCGCTTAACGAAGATGGCATTGAGTAGTTTTATAAGATTTGTTGCCATGATCTGATCTGATTTGTGTGGTCACGCATCAATTAACTTGCACAGGAAACAAATATTAAAAATAACCAAAACAGACAGATGACGTCATCAAATGTCAATCATAACAATAACGTTTATGATTTCAGATGAAGTAAGTCAGAGATGAATGGAGAGATGGGACAGGCAGAATAATACTCAACAATTGAACTTTTGAGGTCATCTTTTTATGCGCATTATTGACTATTGTGTCTTGAAATTCAATTTGGTAATGTAGAGTGTTTTTATTTTAGACAGTGAATAACACTAACTGAATTCTTCTCAATCGTGATATGTTTACCAGTACATGTGTGTGTGTGTGCGCGCCTATAACTACACGTGTCCTGCTGCTAGTCGAGAGTGACGGCAGATACTTTCCGCTGATGTTTATTGGCTGGTCTTCTCATTTAAAACACCATTGATTGACAGAAGTTGGAATTTATGGGTTGGCCACTGAGTTGAGCCTACGAGCTCGCTTTGTAACGTGAAGGTCCTGAGCTCGAACAAAACCTGGCGGTGGATGAGTACTGCCGCCAATGAGTCACAAAGTTAGGATTCAACACCTGCCCATTTCTCTTCTTTGGTTTGCGGTTGTTCTCAGGCTGAAATGAATCCATGACCAAACTTACAGAGGAACTAATCAAATCCCTACGAACTAACTCTTGAAAAGATGAATAAATGATGTAATTCAACATGATGAATAGGATGTGCGTTGGTAGCATAACAGGGTTCGATACCCGGCTACCGACGCAATCATTTATCTCGCTAAGTTAATAAGACTGGTGTGTGCATATAGGGAAGGTTGGACATGAGGCTAGTAGTAACCCTATCCCATAAAAATAAACACCACTGCTACCGAAACTTCAAGCCTCTAGTTTGAAACCCAATGTTCCACTGGGAATGTCAAGGAATAAAAAAAACTATGAATAGGTTAAAATGTATTGGTCTACAAGCTCGCCTTGTAACCAGAAGGTCCTCGGTTCGAACCACGGTGGTTGTGTGGGTGCTGATGTAGAGTTCCAAACTAGGCGATGGATGAAACAGCTTTCCAGTAGTACTCCAGTGCTGGCTTTCAATGGTTCTGTAACTGATTTCAGTTCATGACGAATTCCTGAAACTAATCAAACCCCTGTAAACCAACAGTTGAATAGGTTAGAATGTACTTACTGTTAGCACTTCTCTCTAACTCAATACACCAAAATTAAACATCCCCTTTTATTTATTCGATCGGATAGTTGTATGTCTTCATTCTCAGTTGATTCATTATATCAAATATATAAATATTTTCGAAATCACATTTTGATCTTGATAATATCTTGTTTGCTTTTGTTTAATCAACATAACACTAGCATAACTTTATATTTTCTAGAGTTTTGTAAATAGTTTAAAGGACCTAAACGGTGAATTCCACGAAGGTAGATGTCAGAACGCATACTAATCGATGACATTAGCGCTGGTGTAGTCACTTTACATCCAGAATTCATGAATCGTTGGATTTCAGCCCTTGTAATTTGATTTTTTTGTTGTTGTTGCGGTTTATTTTCACCCTTTTCTAGCTTTCTGAGTATGCAGTGTTGAAGAGTCTCAAACGAGGACGAAATAGTTGTTCTGTATCCTTTCTCTCTCTCTCTCTCTACTGATCCCATTGATGTTCAGTTTTCTACGTGATCTGCATTAAAATAGAGAAGCAGAAAAGAATAGTTAAACTTCAATATTTTGATAATATAAATCACAACTGATATAACAATATCACACATATTACGTAATAATGACAGTAATACATCGATTATCGGATCTTTGGAGATTGAGATTAATTTAATTTCAGTTATTGGATCTTTTTCTAACGGACTAACATGAGTTAGAGCGAAAGAGTGCTGAACAACTAACTGTCTCGTTGGATTTAGGCACTTTTCAGCACTGTGCAGCTATGGGTCATTGAACTAAGACTGAGATAGCTGAGTGGTAAACGAGCTTGGTCTCGAAAATTGAAGGCCTCAGGTACAACTGTTGTCAGAGGTGTACTTCTAAAGAGCCCCTAATCGGGACGAAACTGCTGTTCAGTGCTCCATACTTTTCAACGACTTCTCCAACTTATTCAAGTGTTGGTTCGTGACAAAATTCAATAACTAAAACACTAGTAATGTGAAATAGTGACTTTTATGTTGTAATTAAATATTCCCAACCTGTAGTAAGGCTGCTATAATTATTATTATTATTCTCCTTCTGTTTTATGATCTTCAATTTTGGATACCTTCTTTATGAGTATTTCACACTTCACATGGATGGCGAATGTTATCAAGTGTTGGTTTGCAGGAATTTGATTGGTGGTCACACGACTGATCATGAGTTCACATCAGTTAAAGAACCACTTGAGAGTACTGGACAACTGTTCCGTCCTAGTTTGAGATTCTTCGTCAGTATGCACCCACCTGGTGGCCTTATACAGGGAGTTACCTAGGCTTCTAATGAGAGGTCGTAACCATCAAGTCAGGCAAGACGACAGTTATCCGCCTGTAACACTGGCCGGTGATTGTGCTAAATGCATATATATCACAAACTGGCGGAGGTTGGAATTCATGGACCAGGGGGTCAGGTCCTAGTGAGTGAGTGAGTGAGTGAGTGAAAACGCTCCACGAGCTCGTCTCACAACCAGAGGGTCATAGATTCGAAGCCTTGTGGTGAGTGGATGGGTGTCGATGAAGAGTCGCAAACTGGGACGAAACAGCTGTTCAGTACTCCCCAGTAGTTTCTAGTGGTTCTTTAACTGATGTCAGCTCGTATGTAATCAAATCTAATGTATATTACACTACTTGAGTGAAAAATTTTCATCTAATATTAATCAGGCCATTTTATTGACGAATAAAGTTTGACCATGGATCGATATCAGTTAGAGAACCACTGAAAACTACCAGGGAGTACTGGACGGCCAACTGTTTCATCCTAGTGCTTGGAAATCATCGGTAGTACGCACTACGTGGGATCGCGCTAAATCATGAATTGGTAGAAGTTAGAATTCATGCGTTGGTGGCCATTGAATCGGGGGTCCCAATGGCTGAATGGTATACAAGCTTGCTAACCTTGTAACCAGAAAGTTCTGGGTTCGAACCCCCACCTGTTGTTGATGCGTCCTACCGATGATTCCCAAACTAGGCGGATGAAACAGCAGCTGTCCAGTACTCTCTGACTGGTTTTCAATAGTTCTCAACTGACTGAAATCAACCTCTGGTCATACTGGGAAAAACAAATCGAATCCTAACAAACCAGCTCTTGAAAATATTATTAATAAGACAGAGAGTATAAAAATATTATCGAAAGATGTAAGTTGAATTTTACACTGTTGATTGAAACGTTGAATGATTTACCGAGAGTAATTTAACCAATCTGAGACCCAGTGATGATTACTCACTTGAACTTTTATCACTAAATAGAAAGCTTTCTTTAGCGCAAAGCCTTTTTTTTGCAAACATAAAGCATTTACTCTACATATGATTGCTAATCATATTCACTGATGAATTTGATTATTTGTAATATTAAATTACATAATTATTTATTTATTTTTGGCTGGCATGTTGGTTCAGTGGTTCAACGTTTGCCACAACCATGCACACTAGTGGTCCACGATTCGACTTCCCACTAAAGAGCTACTAAAATTTGGCTCGGTTTAGTTTATCATTCGATAATAAGTCTATGAAAAGAGGAAAATTTAGAAGGGAGGGAGGGAGGCAGACTATTATCTTCACCCCGTTAAAAAAAGCATCACCAAGCTTTGAAGCCATCCCTATGTTCGACTCGAAACTCGGGCGGGGTTCACCAGTGATGGACTCCGTCAAATCCCCCTCTCCTTCAAACAAGCCAATTAACTGTTATACGGTATGTTACATCACCTCCATCTGGCTGACTAGCAAACAATGCCAGTTGATATGAGTAGTGCAGACAGCTACTACTCATCTCTATCAGTGAGTAGTATACAACTTCAAGCAAGTATATTTGCTTTCTACATTACCATTTATGCTGGTTTCAAGCAAACCATCACATATGATATCAGTAGCCGACCATTGATATCAGGTTTGCGCTGGCCGGGGATCGAACCCCGGACCATGTGCACGGTCGGTGAGCATCCTAACCGCTGTTCTACCGACGCACAATAATTTGGTTTCCATCAAATGAAACTGTGGGGACAATCTCGCTTCTCAGACTGTTTACATTCTAAATTATAAATTCGATACAATCAATCCGGTTCCTAGTTCGAATCCCTCCCCCCCCATTCAAATTCCTTCAACCTGGGAAAATGGAAGAATGCCATCAACTCATAAATAATAAATAATAAGATATTTTACTATATAATACACATCATGGGAACTGGGTTCGAGCCTTGGTGTGAGGAACATCATCACTCATTCACTGAGGTATGCAGGTATATCCAGTCGGTGGACGAGTCGTAAATAGGACGAAATGCGCATCCAGCCACCATTCACCAATTAACTTCATCATATAATAGTGTTTGTGGCAGTATCGAAAATTAGATTCAAGACATTCCAACTATTTATGGTGTGCCGCGCCTTAACTTCCACATTTTTACTGTTAGAATACAATATGTCACATAAACACATAAAAAGATGCATAACGTATCCTCTTTTTCTTAATAATTTATTATATGGTACTGTAATTTTTTTGTTTTTGTTTTTTTATTTGTTTGTTTTTCAAGGCCTGTTTTTCATGCGTCCTTCAGTACTTTTTTTTACATCTAACTAACTATCTATCTATCTATCTATAGGTTCTCTCTCTCTCTGTTTGGCTATACGTTAACTTAGTGTGTCGACTAGACGTACACTGTTTATTTGGACGATGAGGTCAGGTGATGGTTGATAGGCCTGCATTATTTATACATTCGTTAGGCACACACACACAAACATACAAACACATATAAAACGCATATAAATACACACATAGCGAGAGGGTAAGCGAGAGAGAGAGTGAGGAACAGAGATATCATTGCTGTTATTTACTTATGAAATGACCTAAACTCTCAAGTGTATACAAAAATGTGAAAGGAAAGTTCGTCAGTGATGTGTGATATGTCAATCTTTTTTCATGATTACTTTTTTCGTATCGATTTCTGATTATTGGTAATAAATTATTACTTCAAAACCAGGGAGTACTGGTCAGTTGCTGTTTCATCCTAGTGCTTGGGAATCATCGGCAGTACGCAGTACGTGGAATCGCGTTAAATCATGAATTGGTAGAAGTTAGAATTCATAGGTTGGCGGCCATTGAAACGGGTCCCAGTGGCTGAATGGTATACGAGCCAGCTTGCCTTGTAACCGGAAGGTCCTGGATTCGAACCCCCACCTGTTGTTTGTGCGTCCTACCGATGATTCCCAAACTAGGCGGATGAAACAGCAGCTGTCCAGTACTCTCCGACTGGTTTTCAATGGTTCTCTAGCTGATATCAATCCGTGATCAACTCGTCAAAAACAAATCTAACCCTTACAAACCAAACTATAGAATATTACTTCAAAAGTTTGATCAGGGATTGATATCTTATACATTTGGTTCTCTTGATAAGTTTCGATAGAGAAAGGCAGACTAGATTTGCAGTAGAAAATGATATCAACATTCTATTTCACAGGTTCTCATCAGCTGCTAAAAGCCACTACCTTAAATTACAATGGTTATAAATAATATAACATTTCATATTTCAATATTTGAAAGGTAATAGAGAAAACATTATAAGATGAAACCATCTGGAATATAAGTATTACAATTTTTTTAGTTTAAGTTGCCATCAATTTATATACTATCAAACTGTGAAAAAAGGAGGGTGGGGTGAGAGAAGACAGAAAACAGAAAAATCTGATAAATTTCGATCAAGAAAGGAAGACGAAATTTGCAGTATAAAATGATATCATGATTCTATTTCACAGGCTCTCATCAGCTGCAGACTACCTGAAATCGCAATGGTTTTATAGATGATAATAACATACTTTAATGTTTAAGTGGTGGTAGAGAAGAAATACTATAAAGCTGACGCATTTAGAATAAAAGCATTACAATTTTTAGTTTAAGTTTTCATCATCAATTTATACTTTTTCAAAGTTGAAAAGACGGGGGAGAGGGGTAGGACAGAAAACAGAAAAAATTAATTAACAGAACAGTGTTAGCTTGTAGGTTCACATAGCAACTCAAAAAACAAAAACGGTTACAGTTTATGAGATTAAGATTTGTTCAGTGAGTTGAGATCACTGAATTAGATGACTAATCAAAATCAAAATTCTGTTACCAAGGGAGTGAGAGGTTAATCACACTCTCTTTTTGTACCCATAAGTCTGGTTTAAGTCGTTTGATTACGATCGCTTCGGCAAATCGTAATAAATTTACTGTCTTTTGTCTATTTAATATTTTGAAGGACTTAGAAATCTCTACGAGATGTCCGGTATCAACAATGTGTCTGGTAAGTGCACTCTGGGAATATCTGCTTCCTTTAAGACGCAGGTTTTGAGAATATGTACAGAAAACCGGATAGAAGCCCTTCTTTCTATCCTTCCAATGTACTTGCTCCCGCAAGTGCGAGTGAAATCTGATAAACATTGTTAGCGTGTACGTCAACATAGCAACTCGAGAAAGTTAAAGTTCATCAAATTGAAAATTTGCTTAGTGAGTTGAGCTCACTAGCCTGTATGACTAATCAGTGTAATGAAAGTAATAGTGTTACCAAGACATTGAAAAACTGACTAGTAGATTTCCTGTTCTTTGTATCTTTAATATATTTTGAAGGATTTGGAAATCTCAACAAAATGACCCGTATCCACAAGGTGTTGGTAACATAAACTAAAAATTGTAATAACTTATATCCCGGATACATCCATCTTATAATGTTTTCTTTATTACCTTTCAAATATTGAAATATGAAATGTTATATTATTGATAACCATTGAAATTTAAGGTAGTGGTTTTTAGCAGCTGATGAGAACCTGTGAAATAGAATGTTGATATCTGTTAGTCAA